AAAGACAAACCCAATGGCAATATAATTGGTAGGCCAGAGTGAACAAAGTCATGTTGTTTCACACCAGACAAAGCAGAAGTTACTTGTAGATACTTCTGCTGAAAAACACCAATATCTGAAAAGTTCATGAGTGAAAAAAAATACATGTTGTTACACATGAGTGCCAAGTCAAGAAGTGGTGATTGTGCTCTACAGTACAGAGGTAGTCAGCTGCATAAGGAAGGTGTGTTGCACACCTACTGGTAGAGGGTAGTCACTTGCTACAATGCAGCTATACCACATAGATACATGTGATGTTAGCCAGGAGCTACCAGGCTAGTGGTGAGCAAAAATTCTGCATATAAATCACAATCAAGGAGGTAAGGTATCGTATTATCAGAACTTTTAACCACCATGTAACCATAAAACTGTAAATACTATAACTTTGAATGTGCTAAGTATATCTTCACAAGATTTTGCAAATGTTCAGTAAACATTACACAGAAAAACAGATTTTTTAAAATTAAGTATCTGTACTAAAGATTCATCTGTGAATTTATGGAGACAGAGTCTGATTCAGACTAGTCTGAGTGCAAAGTGATTTTCATGTTAAGATAAAAATACTATTTTTTCATTGTATAATTTTTAGCTTTCATATGCATAATAACCTCCTAAAATGTCATAAGTTGTTTTTCAGTAAAATCTGTTATTTTTTCCTCCCTAGCACTATATGCAGGCTTAATCATTTTACCAACTTTGTAACCACCACCAATAAACATGAAATAAATCTAAATTACAATTTTTTAGGCACTGCATAGTGGCTCATAGAATGGCTCCGAGTTTATTTTCAAGTATAAACTTTTAGCTCATATTTCTGTCATCTCTTGACCAATTTGAGATCTAATTACAGTTTTGGACTCAGGAGGTCAAACCCTTTTGACTGATGTATTTGACCAATCCCAAGATCTCATAGATTAATTTACTCTAATCCTGCCTAAAAGAATTTCAATTTAAGGGTAGGCTGGTAGAGATCCTGATGAGTGATAAAATCAAATTGGGTATATGCGAACCACATGCTTGATATTGCTGGCACACAAAAATATAGCTAATAAAATGGAAAAAAAAAGGCCTCACAGATTAATTTACTCTAATCCTGCCTAAAAGAATTTCAAGTGCTGTGGCTATTGAGGATTCCCTCTTGTTTCTTTCAAGAATGACTACATTTTGTTACAGACAATTACACAGTATTTACTCTAACAGCCAAAGCTAATATAATTCAAATCTCCTGGTCATTTAGATTTATTGCTTTACTGCTAGTTAGATTAGTGCTAAAACAAAATTATCAGAGTGGGGAAGCTTACTGTAAACACAGCATGGAGTTACAAGATGCTCAGTCAAATTACAATATGCTATGTGCATGGAACATGCTATCAAGTGTTTTTTATTTCATTTACAATTTTTTTATCTAACCTAATAAATTTCTAAAATTTATATTTTTGTTAATTTGATAGTAGTAAATAAAAATACAGATTAAAAAAAACACAAAAAAGTCAGTACTTATAGTTGGGTCCTATACCTTTTTGCTCTGAAAGTCTTCATGAAAGTTAATCCTATTTTTTGTAGAGATGTTGTTAATACTTTAATTTTTTAGGATCTTAAATATGGAACTTAGAACACAAAATATTAACACAGAACAAAAATAATATCCTAAGACTATTATAATTTAACTAGTTTTCTAATTAAGGTATATAGCTATATATATGTGTTAAAATATCAAGGTGATCTTGGCAATAGCAAATCATGAAATTGATGCAGAAAAACTCAAAATCGATTGGGAGAATGGTCTAGCTAGTGTCATAAGGAAAGAGGTAAATTAAAATATACACCTGGAAAAAAGTTAAGCCCCCCCCAAATATTTTTCAGGATTGCTTATTGA